TTTTTGATTAACTTTCTTTTAAAGGTCTAAGTTTAACCTTTGAGTGTTTGCTTGGAAAAATTTATTGAGCTAAGCTAATATTCTGCTAAATAGCAATCTTACTTTAAAACGACAACCTTTCCGGTTGAACAGTGTTCTAAAGTGCTGGTCTGCGTAAATGAAAGAAATCTGAAGAAGAATATTTAATTGACGAGGAAGAGAAGCAAAAAGGAAATGAGCAGAAAATGAGCAAAAAAAGACTGGAAAAGGTCAGTGTAGAGAGAAAAGATATCATGAAGAGGTAAGAAAAAAAAAAGGAAAAAAAATCAAGAAACCACTAAAGAATTCAGCTTTTTGCTGTGATTTATTTTGCAAAGATTCATTTAGCTTTCTTATAGAGTTGTTATTCATACATATATATACGCAGAAGAAAAGGTACGTAATACAATTAATTGAATTTGTTACAGAAATTTGAGCTAAATGAAAAGATAAAAAAAACTTTCAATTTTGTTTTTTAGAGACTTTTTATTTGTTGAAAAAAAGTTGTATATTGCAGATATTCCATTTGGACAATGAGTAAAGTGTATAGATTCAGATGCAAAGATGCAAAAACATATAAACAGGGAAAAAAAAAATTTACATATAAATATGTGGAGAGAGTAATAAATAGATAATACACATAGGTTAAGGCTGAGGGTATTATTATACTTTGAAAGTTTGCATTCGGGCAGATAGAAATAAAACGGTATAATAGCAGCATAAATGGCTTTAACAATTTGGTTGTTTTGACAATTGTATGGTAACAAAATTGGTTTAAACAATTGAAAGTGCATTTTTTTTTTTGCTTATTTACTGTTATTAATGTTGTTCGAAAAAAAAATAGAAAAAAAGATTTTTTTTTTGCTATTTTTACATGGTTCAGTAATCAGTTAAACATTGACATAAAAGTAAATAGAAATAAATGTAATAAAAATTAAATACGTTTATTGCTAAGTAAAAAAAAACGAAGTATAATTAGTAAAATTGTTGTTAACGTTTTCTTCCATTGTTTCTTCAAAAAAATGATTTTGTTTTACCTTATAATACAATTTATGTTTATATGATTAAAACTATGAGAGAACCAAATAGGAGCATTTTATGGTATGGTCCATTTCTGCTCAAATATATACGATATATTTTTGTTGATGGAGCAGTAAATTTTGGTCAAAAATTTCCTTCTTTTTATCAGCAGTAACACTTTTTTCTCCTCTCCTATCCTTTTCTGTTTTTCCATTTTTTTCTGCTTTTTTTTTTCTTCTTTTATCTTTGGCCATTCTTTGCTTTCCCGTCTTTGTTTCCACTTTTTCAAGTACAGTTGTGTAATTTTTGATTAATTCGTCGCCAACGACAAAAGGAAGAATTTTTCAAAGCAAAAAATTAACACTGTAAAAAATGGTTAGAAAAGAAAATTACAAAGAAAAAAAAAAGCAAAACTTTCACTGGAAAAAATG